CCATCAAGAAGTGCAAAAACTCGGCTCAATCTCAAAATGGAATACGACCAATCTTTAATCTAATTCCCCCAAATGGGATTACCAATTCATTTAAATCACATACACAAAGTGAAAAAATTCTACGAAAGAGAAATTTCGATGCAATCAGTTGTTGTATCGGACACAGAGACACAATTTTATGGACTATCAGTATACCCCTTCTAAAATTTTAGTTATGCATTTTTCTCCACTCCACTCTTTTGGTCTCACTTTCCTAATCGCTACATGCTGTCCACACACTTTGAATTCAAACTATACGCATCTGGCTTTCAACTACACAATACATTAACCCCAACTTCTTAAAAGTTAGTCTTGCGCATTTAAAATTTTAGATGAGATGTGGCAGCCACCCGAATCTGGGAGAGTCGCGACCACAGGGTTGGGACAGAAAATTAAAGGACACCCGACAGTATCCTCAAACCACCATATTTTATTATCATTACTATTTTGACTAACCTTAACCATTTGGAAAAATAGGTTGGTAAGGGCGAAAAGAGTGATAACGGGAACGGACAGTAGGCGTGCGCAATTTCTGGCCGACTACCCTGGAAACAATTAGTCGACGCCACACAACAACGCTGTGGAGGCACGCCAAACACTTTCTTCTCAAATGCTTGCGATTCAAATCACTTGTGGCTTGATCCGCACGATTCTGGCAAGCCTCTTGATCCTGGAAATTGTTAGACGGCTAGCAAAAGACGCATGAGGTCTTTGCATCACTGCTGAGAAAGGGATCTATTGGTGGGGCTTCAGCTTCTGTTCCATGTTCTACCCTCTGCATTTCTTGGCCTTGACATCGATTACTCCCAGACCTGGAAACCTCAAGGTTAATCATCCTCTTTTATCACACCCCCCCTCCAACAGCCATATCTAACAACATTATTCACATTACGCACATCATGTTCCTAGGCACTTTTTTGGGTTTTGTAGTATTTTTGGTAGTAAAAAAAAAAATAAAGTGTCCAAAATTGGAAATGTTTGGATCAAATTCATTTTGGTGTGAATCACTTCACAAAAAAAGTTTAAAAATTATCCAATGTTACAATTTCTAAAGACTTTTTTTAGATTTTTTTTTGGATTGGTAAGCATTGCTGATAGCCAATAATATAATAATAATAAATAATAATAATAAAAATTTTAAAAAAAGTGCCTAAAATTTAAAATGTGTAAATTATATTCATTTTGGGTGTGACTATACACCAAGTTGAAATATATACATACCTTTGATTTCTAGGCAATTTTTCTGAGGTTTATTTATTCTTTTTTTTTTTTTTTTTTTTGGTTTTGGATTAGTAGCATCGTTGGTAGCCCCAAAAGAAAAAAAAAAAATTAAAAAGAAAAAAAAAAGAAGTATCCAAAATTAAAATATGCGGATCTGATTCATTTTGGAGATAACCCACATCACAAGAAGTTTAACATTACATTTTTTATTTTTTTTATTTTTATTTTTGAGTACATAACATTTTGTTCTATCAACATAATAGCAGTTGAGAATAATCCTTGGAGCTTGACCTAGTCCCTCTATGCAAAATTTACTTGGAAGACTATCAATAATATGTATGAAATAGCTGAGATATATTTGGAATGTTTTGATTTTGCAGTGGAGAGCTATGATTCTACCAGACAGATACATAGACCATGGATCTCAAGCAGACCAAATTGAAGAGGCTGGACTCACTTCCAAGCACATTGCTGCCACTGTTTTGTCTCTCATTGGTGAAACCAAGGAAAACCTTCACCTTCTCAACCTCTAGTTGTACTTTTTATTCCCAATAGAATTTATCACTTTTATAGTTATTAACTAAGTCATCAATGGAAATATAACCTCTTTACACCATGTATTTTGTAGATATTATAAGGAAACTAAGGAGGTGTGTTTTCCATTGTAATGTTGTATATGTACAAGGATCTTCACTTTGCATTACCTTATCAATGATAAGTAATAATGTCTTTTGTTAATGAGTGTTTTTATTATTATTCTTTTTTGGAGGAAATATACACAATATAATAATATATAGAGAAATATAAGCCAGTTACAAAATTAACTACGGCTAAAAAGCGCGGCTTTTGTTTGAAGATTTGAAGAATGTACCATCTACCTACTAAATTTACATCTTTTTTTTTTGGTTGTAAAATCTAAACCCTGTAAACAATTTACTAATGCTTGAAGTAAGCCCGATGTGATCCCAATTTGCAGCTTTCCCCGATCATCAATTCATTTGACTAGAACTTGACAATCAATGAAGAAGAACAAGTTTCGATTATGTTGCCCTATTGCCCACTATATGGCTATCAAGCATTCTCTCACTTTTGTCCTATTTCTCTATCGCCATTGTTGAACTGATATAGTTTCCAATTTCAAAATTAAGACCGAATGGAAGTATGGACTTCGTTATTTTTTTATTTTTTTTGAATTAGAATAATAGATATTCTGAGGTGTCATCACTGCATCCATAGACTCAGGCCTAGGGGTAGTCGGTTGCCTGATTTAACCCAATCCAAAGAAAGGGATCCACCGAGGCACCAATGAAGCACGTCCACACGCCATAGATGAGCTCAGGTTTCGAGGGGAGTACAGGCAAGGTCTCATTTGTTGGATATGATAAATTAGTTTTGATAAGAACAATGGTTACTTAAGCACAAGATTTAGGTCTCGTTTATCAATTATATATTTTAGTTAAAAAGTGTAAAAGTTATTATAAATTATCACATCATTTTCTCTATTTTTCTGTATATTTTTTCGTACAAAAATTAAAAATTACTAAAATAACATATTCCTAAATGAGGCTTTCATCGCTCCATAATTTAAGGATGGTGTTGTTGGAAAAGTGATTATGATTAGGCAGGTATGTAAATATTAAAACCTATGCCGTTTCTATGATTGTTTTTATTATTATTTATAAATATGATTGTTTTATCTATTTAATCATGTTGGAATTAATTTATTTAAATTTGTTGAATGGAAAAATTAGTGTCCAATTATTTTTTACTGGAGAACAACAGAGTTTGTTATTGTCAATGCATTACAATTACACTTTGCCACTTTTACATATTTAGTCATGCTTTCACATTACAGAATAAATTTTTTAACATACGTTGAGGAGTTTATATTAGTAATATGGTCACTCAAAGAAAGTTATGTTTAGTACAATACATAAGTTGAGGGTGCAAGAGCCTCAAAAGTACTATTTGTGTACATTAGAGCCCTTTTCAAGTTTTCATTACATAAAATCAAAAGTGTCTATTTTAAGGGTTGTTTGGGTGTCTTAAATAAGTGTACTTTTTGACTTTTTATGAAATATGGGTTGGATATGGGTTGGGTTTGAAGTGATGTGATAGGGAGGTGATGTGACTTAAATAAGATGATGTGACTCAAATAGGATAGTGACTTTTTGACTTTTTAGATTTTTTTAGAAATGCCAAACTTGGCCTTAGTGAGAAAATAGAAGAAAACCCTTACTTTCCCAACTCTTCCACTAATGCTGTGTTTGGTTGGGAGATTTGAGGAGGGATTTGGAAAGGGAAATGGAAAAGGTATGTGAAATGTGAATAAAACATACCTATATTTCGCCTAGTTTCACACACATTTTCCCTTTTCCTTTCTAAATCCCTTTCCAAATCCCTCAACCAAACACAGCGTAAGTGTTTCTCTCTTGTTGAGGCCAACATATGTGCAAAAAAACACACGACAAGAGCAATTAAATTTAAAAAAAAAAAAATACTAATCACAAAATAGTTACTTGATAAATTTTTATTGTATGAAATGTTTCTTGCTATATGATAAAAAGTAACAAACTCACCAGCCTAACATGATTAGGGTTGCTTGAGGGTTGGTTCCAGGTGAGACAATGAACGTGGATAAAAATAATATTAATAATAATAGTAATAAATGTGGCCAAATTTATTATTTAAAGATGGTTTACTGTTTGTCAATACTGTAATTGACATGACATAATCAACTAAATTAGATTTGGCTATTATCATACCACAATTGGCAGAAAATTAATTTATGGTGTCAACACATGTCAATTGGAAATTTGTCTTCAAGAAAACAAAAGATTTTCACCTTTGAATTCTTGCAGTAAAACCTTGCTTTGCCCGAAACAAGTCGCTAAAACAAGAGTTTTATTGATGTGTTGTGAGCATTTTCATTATGTTAATATGCCCTTGTTTTGCCTAGTAAATTGTATAAAATTTATATGATTTTTCCAATAAGGAGAGATTATTCTTCAAATTTGATTGAGGACATTTTTTTAAAAATCGACACTACATTGGCACTCTTTGATATCATGGATGCATTCATGACTAAAAATCGAAGGGTTGCATTTGTAGCCAAAAATTGAAGGAACAAAGTGATAATAACATTAAGTTTATCATTTTATATGATACATTCAAAAATGTGGAGCTCATGTGATGCGAGATTCGTGATAATGATGCTAAATGTAATATAAAATGACAGCAAATTTAACATTATTGATATTTAAAAAAAGCAAGTGAAAGGTTTATTTGAATATTCTAACATTGGGATATCATTGATATGTTGTTGTCTAGACCTTATATAATATAGAAGAGACATAGGCCTAACCAAAATGTTATTTATTTGGTGTAACAAAATGAAAAATCAATAGGCTATGTGAGGATCATACATTTGTAAAGAAAAAGAAAAAAGATTGGTGAAATGTGAATTAAATATAAATATATTTCACCATATATATATACTAGCGTATGCCCGTGCCTGAAGGCACGGTGTAAATAATGTTAGGATTATAATATAATTATAATCGCAATACTATTTAAATTTAAGATTAAAATACAATTATAAAAATATATTTAATAGACTAAAGCTACAATCACGAACTACACCAGATAAGAATAGTTTGTCCGTCAAGTAATGGGGGTTTATGAGTGGAGTTACCTTCACGAATAGAATCCATGATATAATCACACAAAATCACACTCCTATAGATTTTAAAAAGGCTCTCATACGCTCTGTTTGTTTTTTAGAATAAACAATAAATCGACACAAACGATTTTTTACGTGGAAAAAACCACAATTGAAGAACCTTCAATTGTAATCACAAACCACGGGCGAAACGCCACTATCAATCCACTACTGAAGAACAAAAAGATTACAAAGAAACAATACAAATTACCCAACCCAGTCAATTTGTCTCTAAATCTTCTGTAATTCTTTTCACCACACCTTCGTCACGGAATTGATCCTGAAGTTGATTCCACACCACAACTCCACTTTGTAGAATTAACGACTACGTAGAATCAAACGCCTTTTGAATTCTACGCTTTAATCTTCGGAATCCACCGAAGGGAACTCACTTGAAACTTAAGAAGCAACCTCCTTGATGTATGAATCTAAATATATAAGTTCATAACTCTCTCAAGAATATCAAGGAAAACTATCAAAAATCTCCAAAGAAAACTTTAAACACAACCCTCGTTTGTTTAGATCAGATCTAGGAAAACCTCTCTCACAAAAACACCTTTAACAGCTTTAAATAGAAATCTGGATCCGCAATCTCCGCTCGAGCTCACAACAGCCCGCTCGAGCGGACTGACCAAAAACGGCGTATGAATAAGCTGAGATGCGCTCGAGCGTATGATGATCCGCTCGAGCGGAAAATTGCACCCACCAGTATCTGTGCTTGCCCTGTCAAAATACTGAGACCTGCTAATCTACGCTCGAGCGCAAAAGTCTCCGCTCGAGCGGACAGTACAAAAACACAAAAAAAATACTTTTGAATCAACACAAGGTTTTGTCTCCGGATTTGACAACATAGGGACCTAACAATATATATATTGGTCAGCAACGAAACGGGAATAACATATATATGTCCTCTAAATCATCATAATAAATGCTATTCATCTAGAAGTAGGGCACGTGTATAAAGAATTTGAGGATAAGATTTGCCGAAAGCAAAAAATAACCAAATTAATAGTTAGTAGCATTACTAAATGCATTTAAGGTTAGCAACCAGTATATAAATGTATATACAAATTCAGACGGTTTACTTTTCAGAAACAATTTAATCCACAGATGAGTGAAATCAACATCAATGATTCAATAGTAAGAAAAACATACCAGGAAAAGAAGAAAATACTTGTAGTTCAATGCCCCCACACAATTGACAACCCACACACAATGATGGTCCATTTTCAGCACACACCTCCCACCTGAAAATAATATACAGAAAAAAAGAGAGTAATATATCTTATTTATTTTCTCTGAAATAATTGGAAAAGAAAACAGTCTCAATAAGAATTGGGTATACGAACTCACAAACAGAACAATGATGGCACCGAGGTGGTTTCGACTGGTTGCACTTCTGACAATAACGGATCCTTGGATTCACTGGGTCTGCTGACATACCACCAAATTCTGCCTCAGTTAATGGATCGGTCTCACCACAGGCCTCCAATTAGATGGCACACTACCCGGATTAGTAAAGACAGCAGCGAAGTAACTCCACAATAACATTACTGACTGCACAATTATTATGATTACATGCCTCTTTAGCTACCGTTTGCATATAAATATATCAGCTGCCACTTTTTGGTTTTTGGAAATAAAAGTCAAAACTGCATAACCTTGTTCTTGTTCGGGTCTCAATTAATTCAAGAAAAATACAGAAATCAGTATATCCCAAACTCCTAATGACATTATAGAGCTAAAATATTACTAAAATTGTCAAAGACCTTCGATCAAGTAATTAATACATAATGAAAGACAGTAATATTTTCATATGACTAATGATGAGTGAAAATTGAGAGATAAGTTCCTTCAATCAATCCAATTGTAATTAATAATTTCTAAACATAAAAAAATAAATAAAAAATAAAAAATAAACCTTGTAGCCAATACATTAGCAAACACAATAAGAAAGTAACATCTTTATACTTACTTGACAATTTCTTAATGGGCTAATATTAATGGGCTAAAGCAG